GAATATTACCGACAAGTCAGGTTACAGGGTTAATGGAATGGTAGGTGATAACCCAGAAACTGAAAGGAGGGATAGGCCCGAAGGTGGGCTTGCAGGGCAAGCAAGTGTATTGCCCAGCAGAGGTGGGAGTGCGCTAGCGGACGTCGGAGCTGTCTGGAAGCTTTCGGGGCTCTGTACTTAGGGAGGCATAGGTAATAAATTGAAAGGAGGGGGTGGTGACCATCGAGGGGTACCAAGGTGATTGCAGAATATGGGAGCTCCGAGGTTAGTGAAGAAGGAGCGGAGGTAGACTGGAGGGATCAGAGGGAGTGGAAGTCAATGGCCAGGGATGGATATGACAGTTTTGATGTTTGGCACTTTTCACTTGATGGGCTTATAACATTATGGAAACACATTCCAAAATTCTCATAGAATTATGAAATATTACTTACTATCTCATCTACAGATCTGCAAATTACCTAAGCAATATGTCCATTTTTGGTAAAGTTACTTAATTTACAAGGCACCTATGTCATCGAAATGGCTTTTTGGAGTGCCCCTGGCACAACCTAGAAAACAAAATATCACATGTTAAGTCATTATAATGCCCCCAAATCCAAAATGCAACCCTTATCTGCTTCACAAACTGCACAAGTCCTTTCCCTCATTGATTCTGGTCACAGTGCTCACCAGATTGCATCTACTACTGGCCATGGAGCTTCCACTATCACTTGGCTCTGGTCTCAACACCATCCTGATGTCCCTAAGCCCAGTGGTGGGCATCCACGCAAGCTGTCAGGGACTGACATTCACCACACCCAATGCCTCATTAACTCTGGCAAGGCTGACAACTCTTCCCAAATCACCCAAATGCTCCGAAACATCACCAACAAGAGCCTCTCACCTGAGACTGTCCACCTGCACTTGAAGGAAGCTGGTTGGAAAGCAGTGGTGAAGAAGAAGTGGCCTATGCTGAGCAGGAAGCATAGGAAAAACAGAATGGACTTTGCAATAAGCCACAAGGAGTGGACTCTGGAGGACTGGAAGAGAGTGGTGTGGTCAGATGAGACCAAGGCTAATTGCCTGGGCTCAGATGGGAGGAAGTGGGTGTGGAAGAGGGTGGGTGGGCCTCTCAGTGACAGGCTGGTGCAAGGGACCAAAAAGTTTGGTGGTGGATCAGTCATGGTGTGGGGATGTATGATGTGGTATGGGGTTGGGATGGCATGCAAGATTGATGGGAGGATGGATGGGGAGCTTTACTGTGAAATCCTGGATGATGAACTCCAACAAACCCTATCATATTATGGCAAGAACCCCATGTCCTTTTCCAACAGGACAATGATCCCAAACATACCAGTTTAACAATCATGGTATTAGGGTCATGGAGTGGCCCTCCCAGTCAGTCCCCAGACCTCAATCCAATCAAACACTTATGGAATCATGTGAAAAGGAAGCTTGGGGAGTATGAAGAACCTCCAAATAGTGTTCATGAGCTGTGGGATTGGTTTCAGGAGGAATGGGACAAGATAGAACCAAAGATTTGTCAGAATTTGATTGAAAGTATGCCTAGGAGAATTGAGGCAGTGATTAAGGCAAAGGGTGGCTATACCAAATATTAATAAATGCTATTTTCTTCTCCCAAAAATCAACTCCAAAAAACCATTTCAATGACATGGGTGCCTTGTAAATTGAATAACTTTACCAAAAATGGATATATTGCTTAGATAATTTTCATATCTGTAGATGAGATAGTAAGTAATATTCCATGATTCTATGGGAATTTTATATTGTGTTTCCATAATGCTATAAGCCCATCAAGTGAAAAGTGCCAAACATTGAAACGGTTTTTTGGAGGACTGTACCAACTCTGCCCAACCTCCAACCTACTCTCCCTCACCTCCACCATATCCTCCATTATACTTCCAGTCCACCTCCACCTCCGATCTCTGGTACCTTCTCTGGTACCCCATATCCTCATCATAGAAGATTATTAATATTTCTATCTACCCAACATTACTACGGACCTCCTAGGACCTCTGCCAACCCTGCAAAAATTTTCCCATTACCCAATAGCTGTTGCTAATCCCACCCTTCATTTACCCACTCCACAGTGCTTGATAAGGTGAGTCTCTCATGAGCTCTGTCAGAGACCAGGGTTGAGACGAAGGGATGTCTCCGTAACGGAGGGCTTCGGCCTCAGCGACTTCTGCCAAGAGCGCTGTGCCTAGTGACACGTCCGTGCCCTAACTTACTGACTGGCAATTAGAACCTAGGGGGGGTAACTCTAGTTGATTTTTCTACTGAGGCGTAACCTATGTACAAGTGGGATATATATATGGTTACAGCGGGGACGGGTCCGCAATTGGCGGAACCGAACGGAGCGGAGCTAATGGGGTTTAATCATTAGCCGACTGAATATTACCGATGAGTCGGTTCGCAGGGTTAGCGGAAAGGCAGGCGATAACCCAGAAACGGAAAGGAGGGATAGGCCCGAAGGTGGGCTCTGCAGGGCAGGCGAGTGTGTATTGCCCAGTGGAGGCGGGGGTGCGCTAGCGGACGTCGGAGCTGTCCGGAAGTCTTCGGGGCTCCGTACTTAGGGAGGCGTAGGTAATAAATTGAAATGAGGGGGTGGTGACCATCGAGGGGCGCCGAGAGGATTGCAGAATACGGGGGCTCCGAGGTTAGTGAGGGAGGAGTGGAGTTGGATCGGAGGGATCGGAGGGACCGGAAGTCGATGGCCGGGGATGGATATGACAAGCTCGCCAACCTGGAAAGTGGGTAAGTCCATCTTGGGTTTTCCCTTTCTTCTCATATTTGTCCTGTATTATGTATATAGGTCATGTACTGTAGTTGATGGCACTTCAGTGCAAAATTGATGACTAGATCCCCCCAGAGTTTGCACCCTCCCCTATGGTCCACAGCCTACTGGTGTAACCAGCCCTATCCAGGGCACAACCTACTGTGGGTAAGAAGATGAGAAGGAAGCTAACTTCTCATCTTCCCACAGTGGCCACCATATCAGGAAAACTTCTGGGAATATCCAGTCACATGAAGGCAGGATCCAGGGCCGGATCATGTGGCGCACAGAGCATGCGGTGCGGGAATGCGCACGGGAAATGTAGCAGGTCCGGACGCGGGTCCGGGTCCAGGCTAGTCAGGGTGTGTGCCCTGACACCGTTCTAAAGTTAAGGACCCAACAATAGCGTAATTGAATGTTGGCACAGCGCTCCCCTCTGAGTCGCTGAGGTCACAGTCCCTCCACTTGTCCTCTACCTCTGGCCTCCCTTCCAGGGAAAGGTCCAGACATGCTCATTCCCCTTTTGCTGTGTTCTGACAAGAATGGTGAAATCCAATGATAATGTTGTATGGTTTAGCCTGTGTTATTCAGTATTTTCAAAGTTGTTTATGATAGAGGGCATTTTGACAGGGGCCCAAGGGTCCCCCCCAACCCGAACTAATTGGTGTTTTTACCCTATAATATATTTCCCTCATTTTTTCTAATTAATTATGAGTGTCCATGATATAATTCAATTTCAATTTAAAGATTCAGTCATATGAGTTTTGAAGCTTTTAAAGTGAAATCAAAACATAAAGAACCCTAAGAAACAGTATTGCCACATGTTGGAACATTGCAGCTAGATAAACTCTGGTTCTTGAGATATTCATGCCTCCACGTGACCCTAGCTGCATGTATATAATAGTGCCTGGGGTGGGAACAGAAGAAGCAGCCTTCTTCTCAACTTCCCACTTCAGACTAAGTGGTCAGGGATGCTCACCCCGCAACGGGATCACTGCTATGCACAGCTGCTATTCGTCCCACTGAGTCCTGCATGCAGGGACCTCGCCACTTTCGGAGCTGTCCCTGACACCCATCATCCAATGAACACAAACCATAAACAGGGAGGAAGTAATGGTGGGGAATACTTCTGGGACCATCCATTTTGGGAAACTGAGTTGCCCAGTGTCATATCCGTGCATACCTGATCCCGACCCGACTCCCAGACCTCCTTCTTCACCACCTCTGGAGTCCTACCCTACCGCTGTCCGTTCCAACATTCACCTTTGGTCCTGGCACCACACCTCCTCCCACCTCCCATGCTACCTCCACTCCTCCGTCCCTCTCCTCCCCTATCTCCGTCCACTCCGATACTAACCTCGGACTGAACACCACCCCTCTCACCACCCTCCTACTACTCCTCCTCCTACTCCTCCGCTCCTTCCTCACAACACCTCCACCCTTCTGTCATCCTCCTACGCTTCTCCCATCTGAGCCACGTCATCTCCACACACAGCTGCACCTCCCTGGGTGTCTCTGCAGGAGATCCTGGAGGTGGCCACTCAGTAGGCAGGAGTGTGCGTGGCATGTGCGGCGACCAGGGGGGGGGGGGGTTAGGTATGTAGTGGTACATGGAGAAGGGGAAATCGACCATAGAATAGAAATAGAGAGAAAAGGGGGACAATAGAGAAGGAGAGATGGGGAGTGGTAGCAGGGTAGTGCAGTACGGGGTGGGGCGCAGCATGGTGTCAGGCGGGTGGCAGGGTCAGGTGGGTGTGCCCTGACCCTGACAATGGGCCACCAGTCAGATGATTTTTCAGGATGGATCAATCATGTCCCCATCAGTAGAACAAAGTGGAGTGTCCAGTGGTGGTTGGGATACATTCCAGATCAGGTGATTGAGCTATGTTCATGGTTTCCTGAGTTCCTCCAGCTATGTGACCCTTTCGCTATCAATGGTGAGCCAGCTCTCACCTTGCAGTGGCTCATCAAGTTTGCATTGCATCTGGACACCACTTTGGAGCAATATCATCTGCTAAGCAACATTTACTTGTGCATTGCCACTCTGAAGGAGATGGGGATGAGGGAGCCCTGAAGTTTCTTGTGAGTGCAATGAGGCATTTTGTATGCTAATGATTAACCAGGATTTACATTGTTGCCCAACCACTCAATGGCAAGACCCTTTCTTATCCATTATAGATGTTACTGACAATTTTACAGTTACTCTCATGTCAGCCCTCTCATTATGGCGATTTTGATTTCTCCTCTTGTCCTACTTCTCAACACTACCCTCACAAACCCAATGACGCTCCCTACAATGAACACATTACTATTGCATGCCACCCTCTGCAGGGGATTTATCCAAATATCTCAAGGAGACCTGGATGCATTCCATGTGGCATGGAGAGTGGTATTGCCTCACATACCTGAGTCTGTTGATCAGACACCCAGTCCTCCCCTTGACAACACTGACAAAGAGGGACCTCCCACTCAAACCAATGAGGGACCTTCCACTTCCACTCACACTGATGAAAGGCCTTCCACTCAAACTAATGCTGAGCCTTCCACTTCCACTCACACTGACAAAGGGCCTTCCACTCAAACTATGCCAAGCTTCCACTTCTACTCACACTGATGAACCTTCCACTCAGACTAATGCTGAGCCCTCCACTTCCACTCAAACACCTGAGGGGCCTTCCACTTCAACAAATAGGAGGTCTGGGTGCAAGAGACTTGGTGCTTGAGAACCAACATCTGCTCAAACTAACGAATCATCATCTGTTGGCCAAAGAAAAAGATGCAGGAATGGGGGAGGTGGTAGTGGTGTCCAACCAAAGAAAAGGAAACATACCCAGAAACTGGAAGCTCCTCGCATCAACAAAATTCATGTGACCAGGGAAGAAACAGTGACATGTGTCCTCTGGGAAGAAGTTGTCACCTCTTGGTTCGGCATCAACACCATATACACATCCAGAGCTCCAGCGAGGGTCTCTCCAGATCCAGAGGCAAATGCCAAGGCAAGTTTCCCATGTGTTGAGTGATTGAAACTGACAGGGCCAGTAGCTCCTCCACAGTGTCCAGTTGCACACCATCTCACTTGTTCCAAGACCTGCTCCTGTAGGAGACAAACTTGAAGGAGTTGCTGAGAAACTAACATTTGAATTTCTGCACTGTGACTCTGTGAGCCTTTCCTCATTCCCTTCCCACATTGACGACTTCAATGTAGCTCTGCAGGCCTCATACTGTAGCTTCATTAGCTATGTGGAATCACTGCAGCATGACAAAAACTGGATGCCCACCACACTACCACTTGGCCATGTGCTACAAATGGAACCACATGTATTCCAGGAAATGCTGGACACTGTTGGCCCTCTCATCTTGGTCAGCCCACCAGAGGCACTTGAATTTGACATTTCGACACTTTTTGGTCTGATGGACTTTCAGGGTGTCTCACAGTGTATAGGTAAGTCCATGTCCTCCTTCCATTGGGCTCACTGACATGGTTCTCAGACTCCAATGGGGATGAGGACTAGATCCTGGAGATGCCAGCAGGTGATGCTGCTCATGAAATGTGTCATTGGTCCACATCCAGGCCATTGATCATGGAGCATGTCCCAGCAACTGCTGGGATGTATCAAGCTGTAGAGTGGTGAGTCTCTTTATTATGTCCCATATGTAGCTTACATGTTACAGGTTCCTCAACACTCATGACATGGCACTAGCTGAATTCCCTGTTGGCCAGTATAATGCTCAGCAGATAATGTCCAGGGAGCCCAGTGAAGACTCACACATTCCAACACAACAGGATGATCAAATTACACAGCCCACACAGGCATCCATATGGCCTCACTCTCAGCATGGTTGAGCATGAACAAACCATGACCCAACATTCCATTTTGAAGAATTTCCAGCAGAAAACACCCAATTTCCTCAGAACAATTTATGGGCTGGCAACCATACTTTCTAAAACTGAGAATGTAGGATCCAGCCTTTTCAATGGCCTCATACTGATCCACTCACATAGATCACCGAGTACTGCTTGCTTGAGGTCACATATTGAGTCACAAGTTCACTGGTACACCAATCATGATTTACTCTGCACCAATCCAGATTTTGATGGGCAAGCCTGCTATGATTCTGTAATGGTAGACACTGTTAGAGACCCGAAGTGAGATGAAGGAGATGTCTCCATGGTGGAGAGGGCTTTGGCCTCAGCAACTCAGACCAGGAGCGCTGTGCCTAGTTACACGTCCGTGCCCTAATTTACAGTATATATAGTGACAGTAAGGGTGGGCCTGTGAATGGCAGGACCAAGCAGAGCGGAACTAACGGAGTTAAATGTTAGCTGACTGACAAGTTGGGTTACAGGGTTAGCAGAATGGCAGGCTATAACCCAGAAATGGAAAGGAGGGATAGGCCCAGAGGTAGACTTGCAGGGCAAGCAAGTGAATTGCCCAGCAGGAGCGGGAGTGTGCTAGTGGACATCAGGGCTGTCCAGAGGCCTTCAGGGCTCTGTACTTAGGGAGGCATAGGTAATATATTGAATTGATGGGGTGGTGACCATCGAGGGAGTTGGAGGTGATTGTGGAATACGGGGACTCCAAGGTTAGTGACGAAGGAGCAGAGGTAGTCTGGAAGGATCAGAGGTAGTGGAGGATGATGGCTGTAGATGGATATGACATTCTCCTGCATCATGAATATTTATTGGTATACAACTTATGGATTCAAATGCATTCCATGCATTAATGAGGTTATCATCAATTGGGCCATTGCAATTGTCCCCCCTGTGGACCCAGCCCATGTCCTTGAATGCATCATGAAGAGTGTGGATGTCACCTGCATGGATTTGTTGACATGCTTTGTAGCCCCCCAAATGAGTTTCTTCATCAACTTCATCCCCAGACTCATCACCAATGCCCTGGAGCTGTTGAACAAAAAGAGTGGGGTTCTGGATGTACTCATTTTTGTTTTGCATCAAATTCTTGGCATGGCCAATGACAAAGTCGAAGTCATTGGGATCTTCGTCAGTCCAAGGTTTAAAGGCATGAAGAAGTGAGAGGTAGAGAAATGGAGTAATGCCATTGCCTTGCATCAGGGGGTGACAGCATTTGGTATCTTGACAGGAAAGGAGCACCATGGTGATGCAGAATTTGGATGAGAGGTGATGGGTATTTGAACCCTTTCCCTCAGCAATCTTGATTGGCTGGTATACAGCCATTGCCCAGTGAAGATGGTTTTTTTGAATTACAGTATGCAACATGGTCTTGCTGTGTTTGCAATTGCATGTTCCACGTGTGAAAGACTTCCTGAGTTGTCTGCCAATACTGACACTCCTGGTGCCAGCTGAGTTCCAATACCCCAGATCTGAAGATACCATTGTTGTGTGGATCTGGTTTATTGGGGAAGGAGTAATCCACTGAGGCCTTTCCCTTTCCCTTCGCTTTCTCTTTGTAGACGCTCACTTTGGTGAAGAAATCTGAAGGGAATTTAGTATCTTTAGGGACTGGAATTGGAACATAGTCAGGACTATGTGTCATCTCGATGACCCAGTTGGAATCTTGCTTTCTGGCCCAGGTAATAGCCTATTGCCCATTTCCATCCCCTTTTGGGAGGACCGATTTGGACAAATTTGGTATCAGCAGAAAGCTACAATTTAGGAGGATTTATTGGAGCAGTGGGAGAAGGATGAGGAGTAGCAGTTTGGGTTTGGTTATATTCATTTCATTCATTTTATATTACCTATATTGCTTTTGATGTGGGTTTATTTCCATCACTTTCTTTTCTATTCTGTGGCCCCATGGACCATTCATTCCTGGGCACATGGATTTTCCAGTATTTTCCTGTATGATACAAAGGACTTCCCCCCTCAGATTTGCAGTACCCTTTTGTCTAGAAGATCAGCCATGCCAGAGCACATCTAGAAAACAGCCTAGGACTCCTGATGATTGTCAAGAGTGACCAGGAGTGAGTGTTGATTTTTAGAGATTTTTGTTGATTGTCAGTAGCACCTAGGGCTCCAGGTGGATCGGATTATCCCGGATGATCCGGAATTTTCAATCCCGGATGCCGGATTAGGATTGGGGGTCAGGATGTATTCTTGATCCGGGATTGGCATCTGGGATGGAGTCCCATTGCTAGCATGCAACTAATGGCCCCCTTATTGGTTTGGGGGCCTCCGAAATTATTGTATTGTAGCAAAGTCATCTGAGATATTTTAACTCCTGACTCATTGTCCGTGCACATTGCTGGCTGCTGTCCAGAGGGGTGTCAAGACTGGTTCCCACGGTCTAGACACACTTTACATAGTTGGATAGCCCTATTGAATAGCTTCCAGAATATACAATTTGAGAGTGAATTGACCAATAAATTATCGAGAAAAATGCAAAATACTTTTTTGGACGCGAGTCTGCAAATACTTGTGGCTGTCCAAACTCACTGTCTGTGCACAATGCTGGCCACTGTCCAGAGGGGTGTCAGGTCTGTTTCCCACGGTGTTGACACACTTTACACCAATGGATAACCCATTTGAATAGCTTCCAGAATATACAATTTGAGACTAAATTGACCAGTAAATTATCGAGAAAAATGCAAAATACTTTTTTGGACACGAGTCTTTTGGGGTAACTCAATGTCTGTACTCATGCTGACCACTGTGTAAAGGGGTGTCAGGACTGTTTCCCACAGTGTCAACACACTTTACATTGATGAATAGCCCATTTGAATAGCTTCCAAATTTATTGTATGATCGGAATTCAGGTAAATACATGTTAAAATACAAAGAAATCTTAAGATGTTATTATCCTGGATCATCCTGGATCATCCGGGATTTTCATCTGGCGGATCCGGATTGGCCATTGGGAGGTTGTCCCAATCCAGGATTTCTGATCCTAATCCGATCCTATCCGATCCACCCGGACCCCTAGTGGCCAGGCACCCTGGGGCTGCCTGAGTCACTCCTCCCTCCCATTCTTGGGAGGAAGGGTTGTAGGACCCAGTAGGGTACTACAGGAAGTGTAGGAATGGGAGCTCAACCACCAGTGGGGGGGGTGGGAGCAGGAAGAGTGAGGTCCGGTGTCTGAGCACTCACTGGGCCATTGAGGTTTTCTCACAGATTATAAGAATATCGATGTAGACATCGATATGGGTCAAGTCAGATGTTACAGGGAAGGTTCACAGTGGTGGCACAATGGTGGCAGTTACAATTGTGGTACAAGGTTTTGGAGGTTGTATATTTGATAAGGAAAGACATTTTTTGGCTCCAATGTCAGAAAATTGTGAGATCAATCAAAAGCACAAGACTTGACATTTAAAATGCCAAAATTTGACATTTAAACATGAATTTTGGCATCTAAATGTTGTGATAAATTGTTTATGGCATTTTTTGATATTATTGAATGTGTTTTTATACCCCTCAAACACTCTGAATATGTTTTTAATAACTTAATAAATGTGTCATAAATGCTTCCTACAGCATCAAAATCGTCAAAAACCCATCTCATATAACACATAAAGCACCACCACAACTGACCAATGTATTCTCATCAGCTGTTGGGTAGTTGTTGTAAAAAAATGCCATGAAACGTTTCCCGGGTGTTTAAACAAACAGGATTTTCCAACAAACTCCCTTGATGGTCACCACCCCTTCAATTCAATATATTACCTATGCCTCCCTAAGTATGGAACCCCAAAGGCCTCCAGACAGCTCCGACATCTGCTAGTGCACTCCTGCCCCCGCTGGACAATTCACTTGCTTGCCCTGCAAGTCGACCTTCAGGCCTATCCCTCCTTTCCATTTCTGGGTTATAGCCTGCCATTCCACTAACCCCATAACCCGACTTGTCAGTAATATTCAGTTGGCTAATGTTTAACTCCGTTAGCTCCACTCCACTCAGTCCTGCCATTCACAGGCCTGCCCTTGCTGTAACTATATATACTTAACTTGTAGATAGGTTACACCCTAGTGATAAAATTGACTAGAGTTGATCCCCCTTTTAGTTCTTGCTGCCAGTAAAGTAAATTAGGGCATGGACATGTTACTAGGCACAGTGCTCCTGGTCTGAGTCGCTGAGGCCAAAGCCCTCCACCATGGAGACATCTCCTTCATCTTGCTTCCGGTCTCTAACACATGCCCACAACTATACAGTTCCTAGAGTTGTGTAGTGTGACCGAGAGGGAACATCCAGGTGGCAGGCCCAGTGAGTGTGGGAAGATTCTGGGTGCTTGCCCTGAATCTTCCCACAGTTGTGGCTGTGCTGGTTTCTGGGTGAGCTGCTTGCTCAGAAAGTTCCCACACTATCCCATGTGCATGTATACACAACACACAAGGGCAACAACGAGGCAACAATGGAGGAACGGAAGGAAGGGAGTGGTTGGGGAGTCTGGGGCACCCTAGGGAAGGGTGCTGAACCCTGACACTTTATTCCTTGTTCCTTTGTCAAGGTGTTCTTTTCTTCACCATTTATTTCATTTTTTTCTCTGTCAAAAAAATTGCCATATATATGGATCACTGTACTTTCCATATAAAGAAATTACCCAATTAGGAACCTATCCTATAAGGAAATTTTCATTTTGGGAAGGGCCTGGCAGGCCACTAGGATGGGAGAAAAACCATTGGCTCATGCATGGGTAAGCATCCACTCTTTGGTAAGATGCTACACAAAGATGTGGATCAGCACAATCCTCTCATATCCATGTATCTGTACCACATTCCATTCGCTTCCATCAACCCACCTCTCCATTCCACCCACCCTACCTCCATTTTCTGTAATCACCTCTAACACCCCCTATGGTCATCACTGTCACAACCATACATCCTGACCCTGACTTCCACTCTCATTAGCATCCCACATCATCTACTGCCATTAGCATCCCATATCTTTGAAACTTTGTATTACTGTATAGTACAATGCCCAATTAATATATTATATCAAAACTGCCCAGGTAACTAATCAATTCTTCCCAGGGTACCCTGTCATAATGGCCCCATCAGACTGTGTATCTGATAGGAGGTCCCAGTACTTGAAATCTAATAGTGATGGGGCACCAGGCCAACCCATTACAATTTGCCCAGGTTACTTCCCACTGTATGACATGTGATCTGTCCATATCTCTCACCTGGGAAATTGCCTTGAGGCTTCTCACCTTGTGCTCATGCCAGCCAGGTGTCTGGGGATGACTCCCAGGTCCCCATGACCCTCCCCTATGGCCCACAGCCTCAAGTCTAGCCAGCCCTATCAAGGGCACAATCCTACTGTGGGTCAGAGATGAGAAGGAAGTTAACTTCTCATCTTCCCACAGTGGCCACAATAGATCGAAAACTTCCAGAGATATCCAGAAGTCACATGAGACCTGAGACCCAGGGCCCAGGGCATCCAGCTGCATGGAGTGTCTGGCACAGGGTGCGCACGGGAAGCGCAACAGCTGGGTGTGGGCGCAGGTGTGGGTGCGAGTGTGGGTGTGGATGCGGGTATGGGCTAGGTCAGGGTGTATTCCCTGACACCAGGATGACCAATAATGGGGCCAGGGGAATTTCCCAAGGGGTTGGTTCAAACAATTGTGGGATGCAATGGTGCCTGTTAGAGACAGGGGTCTTGGCCAGTTCCAGAGTGGAAATGGAGACTTAGTGAGGAGGGACCTTGGCCTCAGCAACTCAAGCAGAGTGCTGTGCCATTGCTGTTTGTCCTTTTGGTCCTTAATTTCAGACATAGCAAGAGTTAAGTCTCTAGGGGCATCCAAGTTGGTTGAAGTCGATTTCTAGTCAGCTCAGGGTGATTACTGACTGAGGAACCAGGATTGAAAGTCCAAGGAATATTGGCAATGGTGTTTATGTGAAATGAGGTCACCAATGCAAGACTTAAGCTGTTATAGGAATGGAGTCTCTTGCGACCGTGTCGACTGAATGTCAACCACAGCAGGTCCTCCTTCTCCACATCCTCCCTTCTCTTTCTTACATTCTCCCCGCTTCCCCCCTTCTTACACACTCACTCTGTGCTAAGCTTTCCCTTATTGGGTTTTGGTGCTGGCCAGATTACTCATTCTATTTCATGAGATTTCTCATGATCATTTCTTATTCAATAGTTAGCGTCACATTCATGTACGGCTACAGCTGAAAAGATGGAACTTAACGAATAACACACCCTCATCTTCTGTGCAACAACTGTAAACCTCCTTGTGCCAACACTGTAACGTCTGTGTAAGATTGTATATGTCTCGGTCACCATCTATATGGGTCATCCCTACTGAGGTTGACGACTCTAGCCATGGATCGTTGAGTTCGCACACGACTCAACTCAGGTATGCACAAACACCTTTTGTTATGACTCACGTTGCTTGCCCAGGTACTGGGCTCATGTCTGCCTCACCTTATGGTGAGCATCTGGTTAACTCTATGGACAGATTGGTATTTGATACAAGCCCGCTCCCCTCATCGCCGGTACACTTTCGCAAGCGCCAAGTAGCCGTCGATCCCACCACATGTCGTTTGACCTATGATCGACTAACCCCTCCATCACCGGTACACTCTTACGAGCGCCAAGTA